TATGCTTAGCATGGCAGGCGCCGCCCGTCACCTACGCCGTTCTCACGCAAGCTCGCCATCGAGTGCTTGTTTTTGACAACACTATTAAGCTCTGCACTCGTACGTTTGCGTTGGCATACTGCTATTACTTTCTCGATGACATCGGAAAGGTGGAAGCAAAGCGAGCCAGCGCAGAAACACTGGTCGCCTGTGTTTACCTGCCAAATGACCTTGCATCGCTGCTCACAATCTCTGGTTTCGCTAATGGTTTTGAAACGGACGTTGTCGTGCAGGAATGGCACACTCAAGACATCAATTTATTCAATCCGGAATAATATCACGTCACCAGGGAAATGTACACGATGTTTGTCACCGCAGTCGGCAATCCCCGCTCGCACCGCTCCGTCGACTCGCTTGAACTGGCCTGGATCACGGGTGATGGGAGCGGCTACTGGAAGATGACAGTAATAGTGGCGCGACTTCACTCGTCTGCTCGCGTTCTGATTGGCTGCTCCAACGCGGTGGTGCGATACAACGACGAAAATATCTTGCCGGTTTGATGCTCGCCTCACCGGCTTATGCGGCGGTGCGATGCGATGATACGTCACGAAACGTCACCACTCCCGCTGTCGCATCGTCGCACCGCACGCCGCATCGCACAGAAAATCGCACGTCTGTCTCGCGCTTTACGCATGATGACCCCACTTCTGGCCATCTAGAAACCACATGAACACTTAGTTGCACAAAAGAGTGGTTCTATTGGCTGAAAATGAGCAAGACAATTTAAAACTACTTGGCCATCTGTACGCAGTGTTAGAGCCAGGAGCGGCCCACCTCGGGTCCAGTTGGTCACCTGCAACCCGTAAACGCTCCTGGTTCCCCTTTTGAAAAGGTTGGAGTTGATCTGATGGGACCTTTCTACGCTTCTCAAAACGTAATCAGTGGATAATTTTAAGCACCGACTACCTGACGCGGTACTGCGAGATGGTTGCCTTATCCTACACCAAGGCAGTCCAAGTTTCAGAGTTCCTGTTGCATTCAGTCATCTTCCGATACGAGCCACCTCGCATAATAATGAGCGACAGTGGACGACAATTTACCACTGAGATTGTCGAATCATTACTTTCGTTTGTGTGCCTCCAAGTTACGACACTCAACTGCGTATCATCTACAAACTAGCGGCCTCACCGAGTGCACAAACTGAATGTTCATCAACATGTTAATCTACGTCGCCTCCAACCACAAAAACTGGGATGAAGTATTACCATTCGTCAAGTACGTCTTCAACACGGCGAAAAACGAAACGACAGGTTAAACCCCTTTCTATCTGCTCTACGCTCGCTCACCTCGACATACGCCGGATGTCATCTTTCCTTTTGTCGTCCATGATGATTTAATGATTGCGGATACTGTGTCATGCGGAAAAGACACATCGACTTGCCTGCTTACATACACTGGCAGCGCAAGAGTCCTCCGAAACTCGCTACGACAGTCAACACAGGCATGTAACCTATGGCCCGGTGATCTAGTGTGAGTGTGGACCCCAATACGCAGACGTAGCTTGAGCCAAAAGCTACTGGCACACTACGCCGGTCTGTTCGTGATACCCCATCGTCTGAGCGAGGTCAACTATGAAATTGCACGTGTCACTACTAGTGACCGATGTTCATGCAAGACAGAGGTGACGAATGTTGCCCGCCTGAAGCCGTGTACACGAGGAATGCAAAAATGACTCGCCCAGAGGGCTTCGTCTGACACCGGAGGAATGATACGAAGTGTCACTACCAAGAAAAACATGGGAAACGCAGGTAGAGAAGGAAGACGACGTTGTTTCTACTGCGATCCCCCAGAGTGGGTACGAACGAGCCTTGGCTGTGGAATCATCATCATCATTATACTGTGGTCGCGGACTGAGTGCTCATTAAATACCCCCCCAAGTTACCTTACCTTACGTAACAATACTATGAAATTACAAAAAATACTTCCATTCACACGCAGGGAACCTTCACGGGAGGCGAAGCAGCAGCGGCACACACTACGTTGACCCGGTCGAAATGGGCGTCGACGCGGGTGCTGGAAGAGTGGTTCGAAGGAAACCTTAGTGTAGCGTTTACTCGAGTAAACACGTCGCCATTCATGACCGTACTTGGTTCGCTAACCCTCGCAATGCCGGCAACGACTGGGTTAGGTGTAATCGCACTGGCGGACGTTTCAGCGGGCGAAAAAGCGTTGTCTTACGGCGTCCTCTCAGTAGACATCAGGCTCTGCCCAGGCGGCGCTGCTGAAAAATGCTAGCACCAGCGTCCTTATCGCCGCGCCGGCCATAAATTGGTAGTGCACAGAGAGCCGTCCGCAAGCGAACGTGAATAGGCCCTCCTCTTTTGTTGGTTTCTAGGCGGGGTTTGCTTACAATCAGGGTTCTGACAAGCTTCTTCCTTCAAGTTAACCTCGACTCATAAAAGTAAGAAGCTCATCAAAATGAAATGCGGGTACAAGGCAAAAAACGTTTTATATATTTCGGCTTGTTGCAACTGGCAATTTAAGTGCAAGCGAGCATCGCATGGCACCGAGTTGGATGCAAGCACTTGATTGTGCGTTCTGTACACTGTGAATCAGGTCGTTGTTAACAGCTGGCTGTATAACTAGGAAGCTATATATAGACAAAAATGTCCTGTTTTGTGACTATATCCAGCACTTTTAGCAAGACCTGAATAACAGTGAAACGCTTAAATGCATTGAACTTCGGCATATATATGATGCCAATACAATGAACTGCATACACGAGCAATCACTGCGAGCAGTGGTATGAAGCTCGCCTGTCCGGCATGAATGGCCCTGCTGATTTTCGCTTTGCAGTAGCATTCTCCGTAGATTTCTCGCTTTCTGAGCATTGAACTGTTTTAATACACAGGCTTGAATGCTCTGATGACGGTTGTATTCTGTATATACTGCAAATGAGGATACATGCTTGTCAACTTTTTCAGTGTACAACGAGAGGCAAAACCGATGCCTCCGAGGTAGCGCCGGTAACCGTGGAGACCAACGGCAAGACACCTGTATATGGTCACGATCATTTTGCGATTTACTTGTATGACGCACTTTTTCGTATTTTCTTTTTAAAGCAGAGACCTATAGAGCTTTCAAAGCCCTACATGCGAAATTCTCTGTAGTGGCGACAACTTCAGATTACCGGTGGTCACGGAGTGTGTGGTGTTTATCGCGGGCGGCACCTGGCTACTTTTGCACGTCGCGCATCGCCGTAAGAGGGTCTGCTAAGCTTCACAATCAAAGTTACCACGAGTCAAGGCTACTCAAAACAATAACAGGAGACCTAGATCATCGCACTAACTCAAGTGAACGGCTATGGAGAACGCAAGTAGTACGTTAGTCTACACGTTCGCAATGGCCTCTATTTAGCGATATCGCCATTCTGCTTTTGCGACAGCTGCGGAAATCAATAATACTGAAGTCATTTACGTCCGTGGCAATTCACAACGTAACAGTAGCACAGGCTGCTGTCTTTTTTTTTCGTAGAGCACGGAGCTTTTGCGTCTGCTCTTGTTTTCGCCGTCGTTCAGGCGAGTGAACCAGCAAGCACTTCACGGAGGTTTCGTGAGGCTTCCGACAAGCGAAGAGAAATTTGTAGCTCTTTTTCTGAGTGTTCATTGCGTAAATAGATCTAATAATTAGCTTAATTGTTGTTTCGTACGCTGTAGTTGCATCTGGCGGCACCGCAAACGGTGCAAGAGAGTCGGAAGTTCCACTGCTCAAAACTGTGTCAACAGATGGCAGCATGGCACTGCGTGACCGCAAAACTCCAGAGTCTGACGTCTATCGCAGATAAGCGAGCCAAAAGAGTTACCACTCGATATGCGCTCGAGCGTTGCGAGCAGTAGAGGGGGTGAAGTGGGAGAGAGTTGACGCACACATGTTTCAAAGTGTAGGTGATGTGCGCGTAAGGATTATTGCGCGTGAACCGATGAGTCGGAGGTGTAGCGAGCGGCGGTCACGGTGGCGGAGCAAGCGCGTGGCAGGTGAGCGAGAGTGGGACGTCTGCAGACACGGTGAGGAGAGCGTGTCGTCTTTCGCGCGGAGTGAGTGTTACAGAGTCCCGTAAAAGAGCTGCTTCGCATCTAAAAAATATAATTTATAACAGGTGGTCGATCATTTGTAACGCGGTACGTACAACTTTATGGCCCAGTCTTGCACAAGTTGCTGCAACACGGAAAAAATTTAAATATGTTTTTTAATAATTAGGCGTGGTGATCAATGGCACCTGAAACATGTTTTTCGAGAACCATTGCGGCTTTGACTTGAAATCAAATTGTTTTCGTAACGTTTCATTCAAACTGTTGTGCTCGCAGCATTGATCTGGATGCTCTCGCGATGTTTTGGTGACGGCTTCGATGCTGGCCGTGGCATGCTGCATTTCGCGCATATGCGGACGAAAACGCTCGCGCGGAAATTGAAGCTTTTAAACCAATCATGATGACAGTGTATGTTTATCACGTTCAAACCACACGCACAAAGAAGTTAAGCAAACGCTACGCAATTGCACAAGAAAAAGACGCTACATTTCTGACTTATTTTACTGGCACTCGTTCGTTTGTGTGGTGCATAACTGTGATGGCTCGCCCTGGCAGGAATACACCTGCGAACGTTGCATATAGCACGCACAATTATCGCACCCTATCGTGCACTTTGTTCCGATTGAACAAACATCTGTGCTCCAACGAGACTGCCGAGGACACGTTAGCCAATTAAGCTTCCCAGTAGGCCCCCGTGTATACTCTGCCTGCCGAACAAGCCCACAATATGTGTGCAAATATCGGGCTCCTGAAACGACATCAATGCGCGCCAAAACGTTTGTCTCAGAGCTGATGAATGGCATCCCTTCTGATTGATTTCCATGAATTCAATTCTCGCAATACGTACACAATATGCCAAAGTTTTGCACATCCATGTTTGTTTTCAAAATATGCTGTAAATATATGCCAGTACCTTGGCTAAGGTTTACTCACCTGCCGCTAAGGACAGACAAACTAGTCCATAGATCCAGCGAGAATCGTACGGGTTCGCCGCATTGTTTGGTCCATTCGCGTCCGTCCATTCCCTTATCCACACCAGTTGCCAGGATGTGGTGACAGCGCTCACGGCGAAGCACAGTACTCCCGGCCACAGACGCCAACCGCACATTTTCAGTGAAGTCATCAGCACATCCACGGCACTCTGAAAGTAGGTGAAGTGTGGGGCAAAGCATTGGCATTGTTCTAGAAATAGAGCGGCAGCTAATAAATAGCGGCTTACTTGCATATTCGCATAAATATTAATACAAATATTTGCGCCTTGTATATATTTCATTACTGTTTGGTTGGAGAAATGACGTACACGTTGCGTTCTAACGCGGCTGTGAAAATGCTGTGGCATGATCACAATCTACAGGCGTTGCATTAAAGTGCGACGTCAAAATGTACGAAAAAGGAAGGAAGGAGAGGATGGATGAAAAATGCATGGCTTGTGAGCGGAACGCGACGTTTCGACTTGTGTACTTTTATTTTTCAAGGCTGAAAACTTAGCGCTCCTGTTGTATGCTTCGTACAATCTCCTCTCATCCGAAGAGAGGAGAAAGAGAGGGGGAAAGAAGACAATGAGAAGTCACTGTGCGAATCGGCCTTGTCAGTAAAAATAAATATTTCGAGAAAAGACTTCTGGGAGGAGTTGTACACTTTTTTTTTTGAATCACAGTCCTCGGAAGAAAACATATCTTAACAATGATTTGAACTTCTTGAACAAAAAACTCAGCAATTATCCATTTTCGCTGGTACGAGCCCCATTTCACGAACCCGAGTCCCCTTTGAAACTTTTGTGCCTCATTGATGGAGTACTGGTCTTGCGAGCAAGGTATGACTATGTATTTTCTGTTCTTTGGGACAGAAACATTGTCTGAAGAGTGAAGCTATGACTGCTCACGCCATTATCTGGATAAATACAATGTTGTTACGGTGCATCACAGACATGAGCAAGCATGGTACTTTCAGAAGATGATAAAGACGACTGCGTGTTAAGCGCTTGCGCGAGACCCTAGCTGAGCCATCTTGCTTGGCTGCCGATTCTGTGGCAGTTATTGAACAAACCTATATCTTACCCCATCATCTTCGGTGCAGGTGCGGGGTATAGGTTTATTCGGGAGAGGTTTCATCGGGAGAAACTGGAAGTCCTGTGACTCTTAATGCCGGTTCCCTCTAGCGCCAAGTATGCCCTGCCAGCGCGGTGCCCTAGACCAGTGGCAATCGCCGTCCAAGGGAGAGCTGGTAGAACTACGTGGTAAGCTTCGCCAGAGAGGCATAGCGGCCTCCGAAAAGCATGGCGGCTTTTCCGAATGATGCTGTCGACCACCTGGAATATATCAAGCGGCCGCCATGTGCCCGGTAGCTTGAAGGTTTTGAAGAGATGCCTAAATTTACTTTGGCCTTATCTTTTTAGTTTCAACAACACAGCACTCGAATCAATTCAGCACCATTTTTGGAGCCGTAATCAATTTATTATTGTTGTAGACTTACAAAGCTTCCCAAATCTTGGAGGTCACATAATAGACGTTGTTAGTTGTTTCTGAGCTTCAACAGCTGGTGCCACATCTCCGGGCGCCAGTTTTGGGACACGTTTCGTTTCACGCTGCACTTTTGTGAATACAGGAGATGCTAAAAAGCTCTATGGAGTGCTGGAACCAAGCCTTAGAAAACAACGACTTCCTCATGTATAGGGTGAAGGAGATTCGCCTGCTGGAATATGAGCTGAACAGATTTGTCTTCCGCGATCTCCGACGCCAGCGTACAAGAGCTGCTCCGCATCTTGAACTATAATTTATTACAGGTATTCGATGAATTGTAAAGTGGTACGTCAAACTTTGTGGCCCAGTCTTGCGCGACGCCACCGAGGGGCTCGTCGTACGCAAACTCCTGATGCCTGTATAGCCCTCGCCAAGCAGAGGCCCTTCCTCGGACTCCTTCGAAATTGTTGACCGTGTCCCTGAAGCTTCCCATCTGGTCTTTACTCTTGTCGCTCCTGTGCGATGAGTGCTTTCTTTTCTTTGTAATATCCCCCTTATCCCGTATTCTACGAGAAACTTCGCCATGTCACCTATACACATATGCAAGTTAGGTGCCTTTTTTTTTCTTCTGCATGAACCCGCATTCATTCATTGCAGCGTGAAAACCACGGAGCAACAATTGCGCAGCTAGAAGTTTCGCGTGGCAGACGTAGGTGACGTGGAGAGCCGAAAGAAACTGACGCGGGTTGCTCCTTCGTCGATGATTGGCTACGTGGCTCTGCGGCAAACGGCGCAAATTGGGTCTCTGACCCATTCTTGGAACGCCAAAGAACGGCAGACATGTTTGAAGGAAAGAGCCACGCACGGCTGCCTGAGAACACCAAATGTCAAACGGTGAGGCATGCTTGCCGCTAGCGTGAACCGGCCTTAGATTGTACGGCTAATGCCGGTATCTCGCATGAACTGCTTGTCGAGGCGGAAATAATTTGCTGTAAATAGCATGGCGCTGTTGCGACTTATCAACAAAGAACGATAAATGAATTTTTAAGTATTGATTTGAGGGCAAGTGTTCACACCGCTAAGTTATGGCGCATGCGAGTTTACCGCGTACCTATTTTTAAGGAATGGTAAAAGTGTACGGTAGTTTGAGATATTCACAATCGAAGTTCAGGAGAAAAGACGTAAACGGATCGTGCAATCTTCTGCAAAGCCCAGCCGCCAGAAAGCCCTGACAGTGCCAATAAATGAAAGAAATGAATGAGTGAGGTGGTAAGTCTCGTCTCCAAGGAAGGGCAGGCAGGTGGGCGCTCGAGCTGCACTGTCGAGGCACTGTGCCCCAGAGCTCCCATTCGTCGTAGAGTCTGTGTTGAGAGGAAGAAGGTTGCAGGTACGCAAAATTGAGTAAGAAACAGTACACCATTAAGGCGAAAATTATCATTTGACGACTTCTTGGTCGTGCCATATCACTTGGCAGCATCGTGAGAGCGTCGATGGCTGCCACTCATTTCTGAATGTTTGGCCAAGCTTGGTGGGCACCGTGAGCGTTTTTCCGTTTTGCATCCGCAGAAAGGCCAAGGCTTCACGGAACACCTTTATTAACGGAACTGCGTGCTTGCAACACAAAGCAAAGATTTGCACGGCAACACAACAAGAGCTAGAATATATCCTCCAAGAGAACAAACCAATGACGTGCAACTGGTGCACGTGCGATAACATAGTGACGTCACTACCATTGTGTTTTTCGGTGGTGCTCCTCACGCGCCGTCAGACAGATAAAAACGCAACACTTTCTTTACAACCATATCAAAAATGGCCCTAACTCCAAAGCTCTGGAGGCCACCTTTCCCTGTTGCTTCGTCTCTGAGGAAGTGTATTCTTATTAACGATTAACCCCGCGTCGGATGACCTTCGTTCCACATGAGGGTATGGTTGCACTACAGGACAGGAGAGGAAGGGCGACCTCGGATGCGTGTGGCAGGCGTATTTTACGACGTAGAGTCTGGTCGTTGAGCACAGAATGTTGTACGAAACACGCTTGGTTTTCGATAACCACCAATACGTTGTTGGAGACTTCACTCACGTAACTTTAGCTGGCAGCCATTGCACCAATTATCCTCACATCGAACGAACCGACACACAGTCACCAATCACAAAATATTGCCGCTTTGCTCTGCGCGTATCACCTGACTGTTTCACCTTTTCTACTTTCACGGTCATGGCCCTTTCATATGAGGCCGCACCAAAGACAACCGGGTCCACAACTGCCTTCTCAAATACAGTTCAGCCATTGTCTTTTTAGGGAATGTATGCGAAGTTGTGCGATAGCACAACAGAAAGCTATCTATTCTTGGCTGAAGTATTCTTTCACTACATTTTTTGTCCTCTAAGAACTGTTTAGACAGGACCGTCTTAATGGTTTGTACCGCCCGCTCCACTGCCCCGTTGGATTGCAGGTGGTACGAGGTGTTAACGAGTGATTTACACTTAGCGCTTTTAAAAAGCTTTAGAATTTATCAGCACGGAATCGCAGCCCGTTATCTGTTACTAATTCTAAAAGAAGTCCATGCGTGGCGAAAAAAGACCAAACCATTGTCACTGTTATAGTAGCAGTCATCGTGCTAAATACGTTAACTTCTAGCCACTTACTATAAGCATCAACTGCTATTAGGAACGTTTTACCTTCCTTCTTGGCAAAACTACAATGCACCCTTTTCACTGAGTGTTCACACAACATACACGGGCTCAAAGGCGCTAGCTGTGTTGCCAAGTGTGCGCTTTGACAAACGCTGCATTTGCGCATGGTTTCTTTCAATGCATCGTAAATTCCTGGCCACCAAACCATTGACTTTGCAACCATTTTTATATTTGTGATTCCGATGTGTTCTTCGTGCATGATATTCATGACAACTATCTGCAAACAACTTGGAATCGCTACTTTATTCGTTCAAAGAATGCAACCAGAATCGACAGAGAGTTCGAAGCGTCAAACCTAAAATGGTTGTTGTTCTTGGGGGACAGCTTTCGGCCAGCCATGCCACGCACTACAGAAAGCAGCCTATCGCGTGTAACTTTTACGCTTCATATCTTTTGCTGTCAGAAGTAGTCCATCCAGAGTGGCAAAATGTGTTCAATTTGCTCACAGGTCTAGGGCAAGGGCAGTCTAGATAAAGCATTTGCGTTGCTGATTGCCGTGCCCAGCCTATGTGCAATCTTGTTGTTAGCTAGAAACGCAAACCATCGTGTACTCTAGCTGTTGCTACTGCGCTAGCTTCTCTTTTCGGATCGAAGAGCACGGTGAGAGGTTCATGGCCGGTAAGTAACTTAGAAATTCGACCATACCAGTAGTTATAAAATTGCTTCACGCCAAACACAATGCTCAAAGCTTCTTTTTCTGTTTGGCTGTAGTTACACCCCGCCTGTGAAAGTGATCGTGACTAGAATGCTATTGGCTTATCTGTCCATCCACAACATGCGACAAAACAGCCCCGCCGGACCGTACTCCAACGCGTCACACGTTAGCTGTATTTCTTTCTTGACATCATACAACTCTAGCGCATTTTCGTTAGTAACCATTTCTTTACAGGTTAAAATGCCTCATTCTATAGACGCGAACCACTTTAATGCTGCTTCTCGTCAGCAGCAAGTTATGCAGGGGCTTTAATACCATAGCCAGGTTCGGTAA